GGATATATGAGTGTTGAGCCTGTGCAAGGGGTTGTAGGAAGTGGTCGATATATTGGGAGAAACCGCTAGTAATGCTCCCTGTGGCCGCTACGATTGGTCTTCCTGGTGGATTATTTGGATTTTTGTGTACTTTGGGCAGAAAGTAAAAATACGGGGTGTTGTAGAAGTCTTTAGATAGAAAAGAGGCTTCCTGCTTGGTGATGACACCATCAAGTAAGGCTGTGTTCGTTAGTAGTAGTGCGTCCTGTTTGAATTCGGGTAGTGGGTCTTTAGTTAATTTGGTATATGCTTTGGTTTTTATGCTTATGATTACTTCACACATGTGAGTGTTTCTACATTTAGACTTGAATTAAAAGACTTATTGCACTTAGAGGCGCTTCTCTGCTTTTTCTCATCTACAGAAGTTGCTACAGCTTATTTGGAAGCCTTGCCCTCAGTGCCACACGGAATCTTACGCTCTTCATACAGTAGCCACTAATACCACCATCACCCCATACTACCATTTCCCAGGACTTTGCAGTGTTTGCGCTGCTACAACCCTTCCTCATTTTTTCTGAATCATTGCAGTGATCAGCGTCTTGAAGTGGGACTGTGATAGTGCTGTAGGCAATCTGATACCAACTGACACTGACATCACCAGTGACACTATTAGAAAGATCAATAATAGTACTTTACACTGTCACTGTGCGAATGACGTTTACTGGGAAGGGGCTAACATTCTGGGGTAATCAAAGGGTTAAGTGTGTGCTTATGAATTTACTGAAAACTAAAAATGTTTTTACTAAAATCTGTTCCTTCTTCTTGCTTTGCAGGGAGAAGAAACAGACAGATCATTCCCTCTCTGTACAGAAGCCTGTGTTTTTGCTAACACAGGGCTCTGGGCTGTGATTGGACACAGCAGATCAGCAGGTGTCAGCCACGAATCATTGGCTGACACCTGCTGCCAAAATCCTGCTGTTGAGGTGCATTACAGCCCATTAAAAAGTTTGCAGTTGATGAATGTTTGGGGTAATGTCTGGGCCACCGGTGGATGGACAGAGGGAGGGGGCTGAGAATGGTGTGGGGCTACAGCACTCTCCTTCTCTGTCAAAAGCTCTGGACTGTGGGAGGAGCCAAGGCGTTATCGAATACAGTGCACTGAGGAGCCTGGAAGTGGGCGGAGCTCACAGAGCAACCTGCGGGTAGGTCACAGCGCTGGACTGACCCTGTTGGAGCTCTGTGAGCTCCGACCGCTTCCAGGCTCCTCAGTGCGCTGTATTCACATATTTGTTTCCTGTTTATTAGCGCTGCACCTTTATTTCTATGTTTATGTAGTGGAAGAAGAGGGTTTGCCACTTTGTGCTAGCTGCTTATTTACTTCTTTGCACTCACTACATAGCGGAACGCAATTGTGGGGTGTTGCAGCATTGGGTGGATGTGGCCACAGCGAACAGAGATAACGGCTAGCGCAGCGCTATCTGCTTCAGTAGAACTGCCTTTATTTGTGTTGTTTAGGCGTGTTACATGAGCAATGCAACATTTTGGAACCTGCAAGGGACCTTCATCACGCCAAGTGACAGAGAGACGCCTTTCAGTTGCAGCTTGTGAAACCTTGCGGCTGCAGCTGGACAGGATAATGCACCTAGAGCTACTAACATTTAGGGCAGTATGCACCCAGGGACGAATGATCGCAATGCAGATTGCTGGCTTTCTGGGCATTCGTCTCTGGGTGTATAGTCCCCTAAATGTTCGTAGGATTGGGTGCACCTTCCACCAGCTGTCAGTTTCCCATAGACTTTTCCAGTCTGCCAGCAGTGGGACTGGATGGTGCACCTGTGCCCTCCACCCTCACTTAAACACCAGAGTTGCATGCACTAGGTGGCAGAGAGTCTGTCCAGGCATGAAAGAGTGTATGAGAACAGGCAGTCCATCCCATCAGGTGAAATTGATCCACAAAGAACTGAGCCTGGAGTCAGGGGACTGGGGAGCCAAACTGTGTACAGACTTAGTGCAGGTTGACACCGGCATTGCACAGTAACGCGCTGTGTGTCCCTGTGCAGTTCAGTGCGATGCAATTTAAAAACGCACTGAAACTGGATCACATGGTTGTAAGCTCCAACGAGCCGGGCCCTCTCAGTCCTTCTGTATTCATTTGTATTGGAATTGTACAGTCTGCCCTTATGTTGTAAAGCGCTGCGTAAGCTGTTGGCGCTATATAAATCCTGTATTATAATAATAAAAAACATGGCTCTGCGGTACCATGCATTTTGGTGCAGGCAAACACACTGTATTTGTGATGTGTGTTTGGAGTGTCGTTAGGAATCTATTGCCACCCACAGCAGTGTTCTTGTGTGAACCAGGGCTGGGGCCCTTGTGCAGGGTGACTGGTCTTGTCTACACCCCCCCATAGATTTTTGCAGGCAACCTGTGATGGGTGTGACCACTAAAAATTCTGTTAAACCATCTACACATTGCTATATACCCCCTTCTAGCAAACTTCCCATATAAACAGGGATTTTTTCACTCATGTGAAGAAAAAAAAAAAAAAAAAAAATTTAAATATCACTGCAAACTATAGATAAAGTGCATAATTACCCTAAAACAAACAGATTCCAGCTTGTAATCAACCACATATGTACAGAGTGTCCTTAGATTGGTATCCTCTTGTCCCTCAGGACCTCACAAACAGACCAGGAATCATTATGTGAATTATAATCATATATAAAATTTATTGTAGCCACTTACATATAAAAACGATAAGATCAGCAAGACATCATCAAACTCCTCATGCCCAGTATACGATCCCCTTTCCGTGTGTAGAGGGTCTCCCGATCACCAGGTAATTCCCCCTTGCTACTCCTATCCAGCACTATCACTTTGTAGCTCTGGGGGACACCTGAAGTGCACCGTTACTCTCCAGACCTCCAACACGGGAAACGGTGCACTTCAGGTGTCCCCCAGAGCTACAAAGTGATAGTGCTGGATAGGAGTAGCAAGGGGGAATTACCTGGTGATCGGGAGACCCTCTACACACGGAAAGGGGATCGTATACTGGGCATGAGGAGTTTGATGATGTCTTGCTGATCTTATCGTTTTTATATGTAAGTGGCTACAATAAATTTTATATATGATTATAATTCACATAATGATTCCTGGTCTGTTTGTGAGGTCCTGAGGGACAAGAGGATACCAATCTAAGGACACTCTGTACATATGTGGTTGATTACAAGCTGGAATTTGTTTGTTTTAGGGTAATTATGCACTTTATATATAGTTTGCAGTGATATTTAAAATTTTTTTTTTTTTTTTCTTCACATGAGTGCTGTGACACTGGAGTGTTTTTTTTTTGCATGATACACGTGTGGCACTTTAGTTCTGGGATTTAAAAGGTAATATACTATGTTGAGATTTTGTTTTTTGAGGTATTTGAAGAGCACCTGTGATTGATTTGCATCTTCTTCAGTGGAGTAGGAAGCGTCTTCCTATCAAGAAATTGATCTTTGTTTGGACACATTATTTGGACACTTTGCATATTGGGACTTTATTTTATTTTTGTTCTTTTATATATATTTGATATTTTTTATTTTTGGGTAAACTCTTTGGGTCTTGATTTTTTCACTATAATTGTGGGTTTTTGGGTTTAAGTAAATGAATATATGTTTTATTAGTACTTCAGGGGAAGGATATTGATATGACTTTAAGGATTTCTGAGGATTTTATATATATGTGTGTGTGTGATTTATACTTATTACATTGCTATATACCTCCTTCTAGCAAACTTTCCATAGAAACAGGGATTTTTCGTTCACATACATTTCAATGCATGTTTAAGCCGGCCAACTACGTCAAAGTAATCCCTCTCTGGCCAGTTCCTACTTAATCTTAATATCTATCTATCTATCTATCTATCTATCTATCTATGCATTCAGTCGTATCCGACCCTTGGCAATTGCATGGACCGTCACTCGTAAGCGACCTTTTCCATGAAATTTTCTTAGCAATTATTTTACAGGGTAGGTTGCCATGTCTTAATCCAACCCCTACCATGCCTGAGATCCCACATGGCCAGGGATGAAACTAGGACAATTAAGACAGGAGCCAATGAACCTACCAGCATGTCTTTGGAGTGTGGGAGGAAACCGGAGTACCCGGAGGAAACCCACGCGAACACAGGGAGAAAATGCTAAATCCATGCAGTAGGCGCCATGGTTGGAAATCGAACCCATGACCCAATTACTGCAAGGCAGAAGTGCTAACCACTAAGCCACTGTGCCGCCCATCATCTATCAATATTATCTATTCCATAAATCTTTCCCACGCAGGGGCATCCACCATCAAACAAATGAAACAATATTCAGCCATCTGGCTTGTACATCGATTTCCGTCTGTCTCCTGCAGACTCTATCCGAAATGGCTTTCCCGCACACAGCAGCTCGCCAATAGCACACAGCTTGTCTGGCTTCCACCTCTACTAGGTGAAGCCCACCTGACTCCAAGGCAGAGCCCTCCTGTGTGCCAGGGTGGAGCCCTCCTGTCTGCTGGGGTGGAGCCCAGAATCATGGCCTGGACTCCACAAAAAAGCCTGCACACACTGTGCAATCAGCGTGCTGGCTGCTCTCAAAACATGGGCCCAGGATTGGAGATTTCATCCCTCCCAAATCTCTTTGAAATCTCCAGGCTACAGGTCCCAAAACAGGCTTTACAAGCCAAAGAGGAAACTGATAAACCAGTTTCCTCTGAATTACAACTGCCTGGAGCCCCTCAACCTCTATAGTCGAGAATCCTGGGTCACCACTGTGATTTCCACCGTGGCAGGATAGCGCACTATCTATCTATCTATCTATCTATCTATCTATCTATCTATCTATCTATCTATCTATCTTATCTATCTATCCTATCTATCTATCTGTCTGTCTATCTATCTATCATCATATCTAATTTACATTTTTTGTTCACTGTTGTGAACTTTTTAGTTGACCACCCATTGAAGGATGGCCCTCTGGTTGTGGTGGTGGTGAGGATCAGGCTTGTCTCGCCTTCATTCTCTCACTAATGTATTCAAAGGCCTTAAAATACTCCTGATGCAATGAGTCAATTGGCATCTCCAGGTCTTTGGACAGAAAAGTATCCACTTCAATGATTTCCTGCAGTGGTTCCTTGAGAATAGGTTCCAATGTACTTTGTACGAGTGATGGTCCTTCTTCTATCTCTTCCCAGTCAATACCCTTGAAGAAAGGGTGTGATCTGAGATTGCACACCAGGTGCGCACGTTGCTCTTGGTCATGACGTAAAAGTCTGAGTAAGAGATCTTGCAGATAAAAGTTCAAGTGCCGTAGGAAATAGGGTTCCGTGGCGTACATGGAAGTAACCAACTGCTCTTCAGTCTCCTGTCCAGTATAAAAAGGATGCTCGCCTAAGGCCATCTCATATACTATTATCCCAAATGAGAAATAGTCAGCCGGGTAATAGTATGGCCTTTGATAATAGACTTCAGGGGCCATGTAACATAGCGTCCCCACGCAACTTTTGACTCTGTTTTTCTCCGTGACGAACATTGCCGACAGGCCGAAATCGGCAATCTTGACGTGCCCGGCGTTATCCAGAAGAATGTTCTCTGGTTTTAGATCTCTGTGGACAATCTGAAGAGAATGAAGGTGCTGCAGTCCACAGAGAATTTCGGCAGTAACACATCTTAAGGTTACTTCATCAAGTGGAGCTGAATCTCTTATGAATTTTTCAAGATCTCCTCCGCCCAGGAACTCCATAGCAAAGACGAGATGAGTCTCTGTTTGAAAGGAGCAGTAGAGATGTGCGAAAAATGAGTATCTGTTGCACATTTCCATTATGTAGCTCTCTGTAATGACGCAGCTGGGATCCTGTCGAAGTAATGGTCTTTTTTTAACCATTTTCACTGCTAGCTTCTGCTTAATGTCAGGATGAGAGGCCAACACTACTTTTCCAAAGCTCCCCTGTCCTAGTACTCTATGGAAGGTGAAACTTTCCAGGCTGAGTTTGTAGGACTGGTCGGTAGGTGAAGTAGATTTGACCAGTGAAGCCTCCTTACTCTCACTGGTATGTGAAGTATTGGGAGGTTTCTTGTCCTCCATCGATGTAGCTTGCTGAATTTGCGCAGTGTCTTTGTTGGATGGGATCTCATTTTTGCCTGGAGACAGAGAAAAAAAAAGTATTATTTCTACTTCCACATCATTTATGTGAAACTGCGGCCATTTAAAGGCATATATGTCTTTATTATTTTGCATAAATTTAGCAAACATAGTATGAGAGGTAAACAGAACATGTACAAGTAGATAAATAACAAAAAAAAAAACATCACAGATGAGGTAACTGCGGCCATTTAAATGTCTCTTTTTTTTCTTTTACATATGGAAGGGAATCTTTGTTGTGACACTAATCTTATGTGACACGTTGTCCTTTATGGCAGTTCTATCCATTCCTAGACAATATGGTTCTCAGCCCTGGGGATCTATTGTCAGTGCATGGCTTTCTAAAACCCGTAACATCCCTAAGGGCTCGTTCACACTTGACTTTCTTTCTAACTCTTGCCAAACGCCCCTATAGCCTTGGACAGGCGTTAGACAGGCGTATGGGAAGCGTTTTTAACGTTCCCCAAACGCCCCATGCGCTTTTTTGAATCTGTTAGACATTTGCCAAGCGTAAAAACCGCACCACAAACGCTTATAATGAAGTTAAATGGTGTTAACGTTCCGCAACTGCCTCGCAACCGCTCCGCAAACGCCACCATAGACTTGAATGGGAGGCTTCAACTCCTCCTGACTCCACATGAAGCGTCAGTTTTGCCGCAACGCTAACGCTTCAGTGTGAACAGCACTATGTGCTGCCATGTGCAGAATTTTCATAAGCGTTTGAGAAGCTTTAAAAACGCTTCCCAAAGGTCCGTCTGACACCTGCTGACAAAGCTCGTGTGAGCTGAGCCTGACGCTATGAAATGCTGAGTAACCGTACTTACACTTTCAGACCACCAAAAGATAGCAATCCTAATGTGATATCTGACCATATTGAGATCTTACTGCCAAAGAGCAATGATCAGCTACAATGGGGAATCCATACTGGCCCATTCCATACTCAGGCTGCGCTTTCTGCTAAGTAACTCTTGTGCTCTAGGGCTTGTTTACATCACATCCATTGAGCTACGTTTTTTCTACACACCCCCCCTACAATACAGCATGTTGTACTTTTCATAAACGCACATGCAGTGCAATGGGGTAAACGAGGCTTATTGAAATGCATTGTTTTTCTTGTATATGCATTCATACTACGTTCAATGCATGTGGTGTAAATGAGCCCTAAGCTGTTCCTCCCTCTCAATGCAATTCCATCAATCTGCTTATCTTCATTGACTAAATATAAATGTAACACTATGTTGTATTTGGTTGTGAGTCCGTAGTTGTGGATGACACCCCAACTTTCCTAACGATTTAGAAATGTGTGTGTAGAAAAATATGACAAAGCGGAATGAATGGTCTGCTCCTGCAGCCCCCAGTCTGCCTGGTCATACAGATCCTAGGACACAAACTGTCTATAGGAATGGTCCTAGTGAATGGGAATGTCATGGGGGGGGGGGGGGGGGGGCAGTGTAAGGTCTCATTGCTATTGAAGGGTCCTGTATACACAGCCTGTCACTGGGGAGGGGCTCACACTGACTTTGTATTTATCCATAGACCATGTATGCCTCCTGCACACCTGACCCCTGACCCCTGCAGCCCAACTGTCACCTGAATTCAACTGAGGGCAGGCTGACAAATGCTGCTGCTAATGACAAGTGCTATTACTGGCAGGACCTCCAGGTACCTGACGGGGTCTTAACTCTCCCCTACTCTCTACCCGGGTGACCCCATTATGTGTATGTATAGTGACCCCAATATATATGTAATTGGTGATAAATGTTGTATACCCTTACAGTGCCCTGCATTATATCTCAACAGACTAGTACTTACTTTCTGCGTCTTCTTCTTCTAATTTTGTCTGAGAAAAAGGGGCAACATCTAGCCAGACACTGCCAAAATCTTTTCCCAGCTGCCCTAAATCTCCCCCTTTTAGGGGCAGAATCTTGGGGCTGTGATGCTGTTCTGTGGTCCTCTGTTAAGGGTCCCACTGTTTGTAATGTAAAAGGCTCCTCCTTGTTGGTTTTCAGGAGGTCCTTCACATTATTTGCTCTCTTTCTCGTAAATAGCCGCTTCATGATTACAAATGACAAAGCTGCACAGAGAAAGAGAAATCGCTTCCACTCCTGGTAGCGTACACAAAGGGAATGACTGCAAGCTGAGGGGGCGGAGCTAAGTGGTGATGACATCAGAGTTCTGGTAGCTATGGAAACAAGGTGACATGACCCTGGCTTGGAAGGTACATGACCATATATGGAAAAAACATTGTGCTTCCTATGTGGTGTTTGTAGATCACATTTTTTGGGTCATTTTTTTTCAAGTAAACAAAATGTGGGACATCTTTGCTCAGCTTACATCTGTATTATTCATGTTTTATGTATCCAGCGCCCAATGAAATCATGTTATTCCTGTCTATGGATGGGATTCACAAAGTTATACACCAGGACAAGGTTCTATTTTTAGCCCTGTACCTGCCATGTTCTGATCTGCTGGCTCCCAACTGAAATTAATGGTCATGTGATCTTAGCCTGCGGGAGGGGGGAGGGGAAGAAGACATTTTGGCCATTTAGTGTGTAGTCCGTTGAGTGCCAGGCTGTAATATTCCTTCATTATGAGGACATTGGTCAGATTTCAACGCTGAGATAGAATGACAACTGGTCATGTAACGCTGTATACTAATGGATTTCATATACCCTTTTTTTTTAGAAATTGAACTTTCTTTTGGTGATGTTTAATATCCACTGTTTTTGTTTTTTGTTTTTTTTTTTACTATATAAAGGAAAAAGAATGTTGAAAAATTGGACAATATGGTAGTCCTCAGCCCTGGATATCTATTCTCAGTGCATGGCTTTTATAAGTCCCCATGACATCCCTTAGGTCACCAAGACATAGCAATCTTAATGTGATATCTGACCACACTGAGATCTTAGCCCCAAAGACCACTGATCAGCTACAAAGGGGAAGCCATACCGGCCCATTCCATCCTCAGGCTGCGCTTCCTGCTTAGTAGCACTCGGGCTGTAAGGCTTGTTTTACACCATATCCATTGACTGACTGGGTTTTTCTTCTGCATACCACCGCACATGTATGGTGTGAAGAAATCTTTAAGCCGGCCATAGATGAGTCGAAAACCGAACATTCTGTCGATTGAAAAATGAGAATAGCCCATACAAGTGTGCCATCATTTGTTTGATTTTTCTAAAATAAATTGCGGCATGTTGGGTCTGGCACTTTCAATTGCTGCATGAAAATCGCATCTCGCAGCAGGCACACTAATAATGCGAAAACCAAACGATTCTACGTTCAACAAGAATTTTCGCTTGGTTTTCGATCCTATCTATGGCCGGCTTTACTGTCCTCCCTCTCAATGCAATTCCATTTGCAGACCCTTGCTGTTTCCTTATGTTCCCTATTGTTATTATGTCAGTGTCACTGAGGAGCTGCCACTAAAGTATATGGACCATTACAGACTTTTATGGACTTTTGGGTTATTTTAGCTTCATTTTGTATCATATATGCACCAGTGGTTGCTTCTGATTATACTATACTCCTTATTTACTTCTATCAATTCCATCATTCTGCTTATCCTAATTGAAAATCCACTGTCCTGTGTCTGGTGTCATCTCAGTAGTTGCGGATGCTGCCCCAACTTTCTTGATGTGTTAGAAATATTTGTATATGAAATAAATCTATACAGTGCTGTAAAAGAAAATATTTGCCCCCTTCCTATTTTTTTTTTTGCATGTTTGTCACACTTAATGATTTTGACCATCAAACAGATTTAGTGTGTGCGTGTCTCAATCCAGAGCGCTACGGTCTAGTTCACATTAGATGCAGTCCTGAGCCTTTTTTGCTGCATCAAAAAAATGCATGCACGGTGTTTTCCATGTACTCCAATGGCCCTAGTTCACACCAGTGCAGTCAGTTCCAGTCGGTTTCCAGTGCAGAAAAAAAAGTAGAACATGCTGCATTTTTTTATACAGAACTGTACTGAAACAGCAAACTTCATGAAAAACTGCGTGTGGTGTGAACTGTCAGCAAAAATGTATCTTTAATGCATCCGGAGTGCATTATTGTGCTGTAAACTGGCCCTAAGTGTTCTTTTCTCTGCTACCTCGTTCCTGTGCTATCTGTTTGAGTCACACCTGTCAGATTTTCATGACCCCAAGAGAAAAAAGGTGACACATGATGGAGCTCCAGCACACAGCCTTTGATGAACAACCTAATTTCTGTTCCTGTGTGATGTGTAAGGGGGAGGGGGGTGTCCCTTCCCTCCAATCAGCTCTCAATGAGCTCTGAAGACTGTAACTTCAGCTCTCTGCTCTCTGCTTTCTGAAAGCTCAGACATGCTGTAAAAATTCATACACACACAAACAGTGCTGTCAAATAAGTATTTGCCCCCTTCCTGTTTTTTTTTTTTTTTGCATATTTGTCTCACTTAGATGATTCAGACTGTCAAACACATTTTAATATTACATGAAGAAAACCAGACTAAGTACAAAGTGCAGTTTTTAAGTGATGTGACGCTTTCATTTTATTAAGGGAAAAACAATCTGTCCAAACCTGCCTGGCCCTATGTGAAAAAGTAAATGCCCCCTAAACCTAATAAATGGTTGTGCCTC